ATAAGGACCCTCACCTCATTTTGTATGATCATCTGAATATTTTGAATTATATGCAATTAGTCTTTTACTTTACATTTGAGATTCCAATCCCAATTCTGGGAGAATTCATCAATCAACAACAAGCTTTCTTTCCTTTATTTATCATTTCAATTAATTAGTTTATTCTTGCATTTTTGTGAAAGTGAAGAAATTGGTTTTTAATAACCCGATTTTCTCTAATATGCTCGTTACCTCATATATGCATCACCCTCGCTTGTAGCAAACAATTTCAATTAGTAGGAAGAATTCCCCCAATAAAATTAGGCAAGACACTTACCTCAAACAAGCCAAATCGATATACTAAAAGCACCATCTCACTCAAATTGACCTCAGAACACTTGAAACTAGCCAAAAGCAACTCAAAATAATCAAATAATTCCATGGAAAACAAACCCAAACGATAAAGGTCGAATCTTTAATAAAGTACTCAAAGTCAACCAAAAAGTCAACCCGATCCCGCACATTGGAAACCAACAAAACTCACAAATTATGACAACCCATTCAATTATGAGTCCATCCATACTAATTTCACTCCAATCGGACTCCGAATTGATGTTCAAATCTCAATTAATTACTTTAGGAAAGTATAGACAAAACTCTCAATTTCCCTTTTTAAATCATCAATAAAATGCAAAAATCGATGATGGAATCATGGAATATAAACAAATACGAGTCAAAAATACTTATCTAATCCAAATTGTGAAAATTACCTCCAAAATCGCCCAAATTTGAGCTCTACAGCATTGTGAGAAATAGTGACTAAATTTCGGAACTAGTAAAAACAAACTTAGCAGTTGTTATAGCTAAAATCAGATTCTAGATGCCCCTGAAAACTCACATTTGATAAGCCCAACATAATCCTTGTGATACACTCAAGATAGCCTTTTGCATCACCCAATTTTGCCTTAAAATGAGGGAGATATTATGTTTTGAAGTTTTAAAGGATGTCTGAAAATTTAAGGGACAAAAATCACATTTTCGTAATTATTTTACAGCTGAAAATCGGCAACAAAAGAGCCTTCAGTTTAGAATCAAAAACTCATTCGCAACCTCCCGGACACAAACCATATATGAATTTCAATCATAAAATACGCTATGAACCTACTCATGCACTCAAAACATCGAAAAGAGGTCATCTTGACTAGATATTAACTACGGTCAAACTCCAAATTCTTAATTTAACTAGCTTTTCAACTAATGATCCAAAATACTGTAACAACCCAGCCGATCATTTATGTGCTTAATAGCTTTTATGTGACTTGTCAGGGTAGTCGGTTCGAGTCTGGAAGGTTTTCAGAATTAATTGAGACAGTTTGTCTCAAGGTTGGAAACCTAGGTAGAAAAAGTGATCGGGTGTTGACTTACATGTAAATGACTTCGGATTGGAATCTTGATAGTCCCATTAGCTCAGTTTGGTGATTTTAGACTTAGGAGCGTGTCCGCATAGTGATTTGGAGGTCCATAGTTGAATTAGGCTGGAAATGGCAAAAGTTGGAAATTTTGAAGTTTGATCAGGAGTGGACTTTGTGGTTACCATGCTCAAATTGGGGTTCCCAGAGTTGGAGTAGATCGGTGGTGTCATTTGTGACTTGTGTGCAAAATTTGAGGTTAATCGGACGTGATTTGATAGGTTTCAACATCGTTTGTAGAATTTGGATTTCCTTAGTTTCATTAAGATTGAATTGAGGTGCGCTTCATATTTTTGATGTTGTTTGATGTGATTTGAAGGCTCGAATAAGTTTTTACTGTGTTTTAAGACTTTTTGGTACATTTGGTTGAAGTCCCGGGGTCCTCGGGTTGATTTCAGATGGTTAACGGGTTGAATTTGGAGTTTGAAAGATTGCTGAAGCTGGGAGTCTTCTGGTGCAATTGCACCTGTGGAGCCTTGGTCGCAGGTGCGAGATCGGGAGTGCAGATGTGGCTAGGAGTGGAGGAAGACTATCGTCGCAGGTGTGAAGGATTTTCTGTAGCTACATAGTCGCAGATGCGGCATGATGGGTGCAGAAGAAGAGTTTGGCCTGTGGGCAAATTTGCGCATGGCGATGGGAATTCCGCACCTGCAATTGCGCAGATGCGAGGGTAGGATTGCAAAAGTGGAGGCCCAGTTCCATTGGTTTACCATATAAGCGGGAGGATTGTCTCTTCTGCGATGCTGCAGATACGGTTAAGTTTCCGCAGAAGCAAAAAGGCCGGATAAAACATTAAATTCAAGGGTTCACGATTTTTCTTCATTTTAAACATTTCAAGCTCGAGATTGGGCGAGTTTTGAGGGGGATTTCACAGAGATTCTTGAGGTAAGTGACTTGGGCCCATTCTCTTTAAATAATCTTGTTTCCCCCATTGAATTTATGTCATGACCCAAATTTCATTAAAGGTCTTGATGGCGTCGGACACCACTGTCAGGCAAGCCAACCCCAAATAATCAATTTAGTTATTGTTTTAGTATTTTTAAAATCATGATTTTTCTTCAATTTAATAGTAATAGATGGACTTTACAGAATAAATAATAATGTTTTTAGCAATTTCAATACTGAATAACCCATAATTATTCCAAACCTGGTGTCACAAGTGCATGAGAGTTTACAAAGGAATAAAATAAAATATAATAACTGTCCGGAATAAAATTTGGACAGATAGGGAAATACCAATACTCTGAAAAAGACCCTGCTGGTTGTGGATCACACATAAGATGCAGCTCGTCTAAGTCCCCGTGTCAACCACACCGCTGCGTCCGCAAGGCCACTAAATATATATATGCTTGTACAACAAAATGTACAGCAAGTGTAGTATGAGTACGAAAACAACACGTACCCAGTAAGTATCTAGTCTAAGCTCGAAGAAGTAGTGACGAGAGGTAGACTTCGATACTTACTAGTGGTCTAATAATATCAGGTACAGTAAAGAAGTGAATAAATATAAAACAGAATAAATATATGAAGTAAAAATGTATAATACGTGGTACAATTCCCCTCTTTACAATTTTACTCAAGCTCTCAACTAGCAAGTTTCCCTCCGTAACCGGAGCATATANACCGAGGCGAATGGACCGATCTCATAAGAGTAGTAGAATGAAATACCCCGCTCACAAATCATACATGCGACGCGGCCAAATATAAATTTAACATTAAAATCATATCTCCTTCTTGGTTCTTTTCAAAATAAGGGAAATTCAGCTTGTAGCTTTTTAAGGAAATTGCCCCCCGCTCGCGAATCATTCATTCGGCGGTTACTCATAGATTTCTTAAGCTATTATAATATTTCTCAATTCTTTTCGAAAATACAAAGATTAATGGAAACTGTTAAAATCTTAAATTCATAAATTCAAATTCCTTTAAACACAATTATTACGCAACATTAATCTTGTTTCTTCTCAAGACAAACAATAAACACAAATTAACAACAATATCAACAAGGCATGATGTGAGCCTAAAACTACCCGGACATAGGCATAGCTAGTAGCTACGTACAGACTCTTGTCACCTCGTGCGTATGTAGCCCCCCCAACAATAGGAGCACATAATAATTTAGTTCACCTATGGGATTTATTTCCTCAAGGTTAGAAAAGAGACTTACCTCGCTCTGAAGTTCCATATCCGGCTTCCAAGTCTTTCCGACGACTCAAACCGATGCTCGATGCTCCGAAACTAGCCAATAATTATGCAAACCCATGAATATACGCTCGAAGACTCATAACAATTCAATTTACAACAAATTGCCAACTCCGCTGGAAAAATCGATAAAATCACCCTCGGGTGCACGTGCCTGAATTCTTAAATTTTTCAAAGATAAACTTTGCCAATATCCGCACAAACTCAAATATATAATTTGTTTCCAATTCCATGCCCAAATTCATGGTCAAAATTCAAAAATTACCAAATTTTAGGTTTTCTACCAAAACCCCACAATTTCCACTAATTTTTATGTTCAAATCTATATATAATCATGTTTTTAACTCAAAACTAGTATAAACCACTTACCTCATGCTTGGTGATGAGAATGGCACTCCCAAGTTGCTCCCAAAATCGACTCCCATGAAAGATTTGAGATGAAATGAGCCAAAACTCGTCTTTTAAATAAACGCACTGCCCAACGATTCTTCACACCTGCAGTCACTTTACCGCTTATGCGGTTCCGCAGGTGCGGACAATATACTGCTTCTGCAGTCCTTGGCTCCCAACCCATTTCCGCTTCTGTGCCTTCTCTTCCGCAGGTGCGGTCTCGCTTCTGCAGCGAGATGACCACATTTGCGGTCCCAACACTCCCAGCCAAAATCGCTTTTGTGACCCTCATGGCCGCTTCTGCGGCTCCGCACCTGCAGCCAAAACCTCGCAGGTGCGGTTATACCACGTGACAGCAACCCTTAACCTTTCTTCCAAGTCAAACTCGATCCGTTTACCATCCAGATCCCATCCGAATCCCTCAGGACCTTAACCAAATATACTAACACGTCCAAATCGCATTACGAACTTAGTCGTACCTCCAAATCCAATCAAACAACATCGAAATCACGAATCACAACCCAATTCAAGCTTAATGAACTTTAGAACTTCAAACTTCAACATTCGATGGCGAAACCTATCAAATCTCGTCTGATTGACCTCAAATTTTGCACACAGTCATATTCGACAATACAGACCTATTCCAACTTTCGGAATCATAATCCGACCCCGATATCAAAAGTCTACTTCTGGTCAAACATCTCAAAAAACCTTGAAATTACTAACTTTAGCCAAATTACTCCAAAATGACCCACGGATAGGGATGGCAATGGGGCGGTGAGGGGCGGGCGGGTTTGAACGTTGGCGGGTCGGTGCAGGTTTGAGAATTTGCGGTTTCAGGACAGGGAGGGTTCAATTTTTAAATAAAATAAATAATGCGGGGCGGGGTGGGTCGCGGGTGGGGATTTAATTTTTTAAGCTAATAGACATAAAGGCTAAATATTAAAACCCTAGCCCAAATTTCTTTCTCTTAGTCTCTTACGGCTCATCTCTCTCGGACTCTCCTTGGTCCTCTCTTAGTCTTGCTCGATAATCAGAGAAAATTAGAATATCTTTCAATTGTGAAGGTCATTATTCTGTGGTTTATCAAGGATTGTGAGTCCTTTTTCCTCTCTTAATTCTACTTCTCACTGTAGCTCCATTTTCTGGTTCTAGTTATTTTGAATTAAGTTTTTGGGCTTTATCTATGTTGTGGAATTCCTATTTCATTTTGGTCTAAACTTTGCATTTTCAATTTTTCTATGAGAAATTTTATCAAACACATTATGGGCATTAGTGATAAAGACCTATATTTCTTGCTCTTTAAGTCTATGTAGAGAAGGCCAAAGGTAAATATGATTCCAAGTAGACCATTTGTGTAAAGCCAATGGAATTGTGTATTTCTCTGAACTTGGGTCATCGGAATTAGGAATGTGAAACTCGTTCACTAATCCAACATGTTTCTGTTCATTGCAGCGGCATTCTGACGGTGCTGCTGTCTTATGATCTAACGGTTTTAATTACCATTGGGTTCTATTCCATCTGAGTCTTTGTGTCCAACAAACATCTTTTAGTCATACTAAACTTTGAAAATGTCTTGACTGATATAAAATCATCTATTTATGATATTATCGACTCATTTCTTGGAAGTCAGTTTTTTTCCTCTGCTTGACAACTTTCAAACAATTCTGCACATGCTCATAATCTATTTCCTGACAGCTTAGAAGCATGTTTAACCTCATTTGTTTTATTACATTTCATTTTCAGCATATTACTATTTTATAAGTGTTGTTTGTGTAGCTTTAGTCTCTTTTATACCATAGAATGTCTCAATCTTATTAGACCATCCTTCATGCATCTAACAAGTTTGTGTGAGAAACCAAATGAACCTCTTGGGACTAATATCAAGAATAAAATGTTTCGAAGCTTGTTCTTTATTCCTTCTTTGGATTCTTTCATATTGCCTTGTTTCTGTCATAAATTGCTTTGGGCGCATATATAGTTTCTGTCATAAATTGCTTAATTGACTCCTTTTATTTTCCATGTGCACTTAGAAATATCCCATAATAATATTATAGCTTATTTTTTGTAGAAAATTATGGAGTCTCAAAATTAAGAGAATCTGGTTGGTTCATCTTCAAGTACTTTTCCTATAGAGAGTGAGAGTCAATTGCCTATGCAAGTCGATGAAGTTACTACTGAAGTTATTGATAAAACTGGGAAAAGAAACTTATTTCTGACACATGGAATCATTTTAAACTGGTGATGGTTAATCGTTTTTGTTTTGGTGTTTGTAAGTATTGTAAAACTCATATCAAATCAACAAGAAATTGTGGGACATCGTCCATGTTAGATCATATTCATAGTCGATGTCGCAAAAAGCCAAGTAATTTAGACACTGAGGGTAGTTCGGGGTTGATGGTAGCTAACGACACTATTTTGATCAAGATGTTTCACGCAGAGAACTTGCTTATGCTATCATTTTGCACGAGTATCCATTGTCCATTGTTGATCATGTAGGATTTAGGAAGTTTGTTTCTAGTCTCCAACCGTTGTTCAAAATGGTGTCTAGGAACACAATCAAGAATGATATACTGAAGATTTTTGACAATTTGAAATAAAAAACTTCTATGTTATTGAAAAAACTCACAAGTAAAATTGCAATAACAACTGATATGTGGACTTCGGACAATACCAAAAAGGGTTCATGGCTATTACAACACATTTTATTGATGATTCATAGAGTCTTCAAAGCCATATTCTTAGATTTGTTTATGTTCATGCTCCACATGATAAGGATACATTGTGTAGTGCGTTGCTTAATTGCTTGTTAGAGTGGAATCTTGAAAGAAGAATTTCAACAATTACAGTTGATAATTGTAGCACAAACAATGCTATGATGAAAACCTTGCTAGATGAGAAACTTTGTAAAAGGGATTTATTGTTGATGGGTCGAATGTTACATGTGTGATGTGCCACACATATATTGAATTTTATTGTGCAAGAAGGACTAAAGGTGATACAAGATAGTATTAATAATGTGCGTGACATTTTCTTATATTGGATAGAGTCTTCAGGAAGAATCGAAAGGTTTTCAAATGCTGCACGATTGCTATATATTTCTTGTAACAAAAACTTAGAGTATATTTCCCTACTCGGTGGAACTCAACATATCTAATGTTGAGAACAACCCTAGAAACAAATATGTGTTTATGAAGTTAAGCCTAAGTGACCGTATTTATCATTGTTTTCAACCCGAAGGGCAATGGAGTGCAGCAAAAGAAGTTTGTGATAAATTAAAGCTTTCCTACCATATCACTGAAGAATTCTCAAGGACTCAATATCCCACTTCTACTCAATACTTTTCTAAAGTTTGTGATATTACGCTAGAATTCGAAGCCTGGTGAAAAGTTTAAATCCTTTGATTAGCTCTATGGCATCATCAATGTTGTTTAAATTTAAGAAATATTGGGATGAAGTGCATATTTTGATGGGTGTAGCTGCTATCTTTTATCCAAGGTATAAGATGAGGTTGGTAGAGTTTTATCTCACATATTTATGGTGGAGAAGCTGCTTCAAACAAAATTCAAGAAGTTCGAAACTATTGTGTTGATCTCTTTCAAGAATATAAGAGTCGAGGAGTTGAGTCATCCCAAGCATTTAGTTCTAGTGAAGTTGTTGGTCATGTTGAGGGTGACCGACTGTCTAGTTTTGATAGGTTTGTTGCGTTGAGTAGCTTGAACGTGGACACAAGATCGGAATTGGATTCTTATTTAGAAGACAATGTGCTACCCCGCACACCATCATTTGACACTTTAAGTTGGTGGAAGATAAACGGATTAAAATTTCCTACTTTACAAAAAATGGCTCGTGACCTCTTAGCTATTCCTGTCTCTACCGTTGCTTCAGAATCTGCATTTAGTACTAGTGGGAGATTGATTAGTTCGCATCGTAGTAGACTTCATCCTTCTACTTTGGAGGCTTTAGTGTGTCCTCGCACTTGATTTTGGAAAGAAATAAATGGTAAGTGATTTTTTCAATGACTTATAATGTTAATAGCGATTTTCAATTTTAATACTATATATGTTTCTTTTTAGGGTTGGCTTCAATGGTCGACAAAGTTTCATATCCAACATTACTTGATGAAGAGGAAGAGCCGGATTCAAGTGGTCGAGAAAAGAGGAAGAGAATGTCATTTGTTGATTTTGTTGAGTATAGACCATTAGACCTTGCTGATAGCTTTGTAGTTTGTTAAAGCTACTGCTCCTATGCTTTTTGAGATGTGTTTTTTCTTCAACACTATGTTCTATGGTCCAGCGTTGTTGGTTCTGGCATTGAGTTCTGATTCAGTATCCATTGCTTCAGTATCTCCTTCATTCTGCAGCAGAATGTTTGCTCCTTGCTTTTATTGCAATCTTTGATGCTTGATTGAATACAGAAATTGAAATCCCACAGTAGCCTGCTCAATGGGACCGATGTCGACAAATGTAAAGTTTATTCTAATGTTTCTAAACCTGTTTTGCTTAATGTTCAGCCCAGTTATGCTTTGCTTTTTCCTGGTTTTATTGTGGTGGAGATGCCTTGATGCCATTTATGTTAAGTATAAGGGGGAATGACCTACTATAAGACAGACCAACTAATGGCTTTTATGGTATCATGAGTTGGAGCTTGCTGTGTTTTTGTTTCTTTATTGAACTTTTGTATTCAGTGTTATAATTTCACCCATGTGGGATGATTGCATTATAGGTTTGTTTACCTTGAAAATGGTAATTAAAATTATATTTGATTTTGTAGTTCTAAAAATACGTGATTTATTTTAGTAATAGTTGTTAAGCAATAGATGCTAAGCGTGAGCTAAGAAGATGAGATAGAGGCTTAAGAACAATATGTTATGCAAACCGAATAGCCGTGAACCAGGGTGAATTGGGGTCTCGAGCTGGCCTATGCTGGGCCTCGAGGTCGAGCTAAAGTGATGGACTAGGGCTGACCGATGGAGAACTACTAGTTCTAAGGGCCTTAATGATGGCTCTTTATGATCAATGATGGGTAATAAGTGATGATCAATCAATGAAACACAATAAATGTAAGCAATAAATCAAAGGAAGGACAATGGAGAATGTTCAAATTAGAAAGCAGAGAATATTCTTGTTCTTGTATTGAATATCATGTGTCTTACAAAGTGATAAGGGTCCCCTTAATATAGGAGGGGGAATCCCAACATAGTACAGGTACATTTATTATAAAAATATACGGCTGGTACAGCCATTTAATGCCACGATACGGACTTGTACTATTCTTGTAGACCTGGTCAGCTCTAACCACGTGCCTTGAGAATTTTTTGCTTGTCCATCATAGCCACCGATTCGTACTGCCCCGAGGTCAAACATAGAGAACCCTCGGGGTTGAACTCGAGCTATGCCTCGAGCCTTCTTAGGTGGGCTATGGAGTCTCATAATGATCATACAATCGGACTCTTCGATTTTAGCCATATACAACTACGATAACCCCGAAGTCGAACTCTTCCGATTTTGGCCGTATACAAGGTTGAAGGAAATAAAAATGAAATCTCGTGACAGGACATGAATAACATTCTGCAAAGTTGCCATCACCTATATTAATCATTGTCAACGTATTTTCTAACTTCAATCATAATCACCATCATACATAGTACTATATTTAATGTCTAGTATAGAGCAGTATCGCTAAAGAAAAGTGTACGCAATCCAAAATATATTAGTCAAGTAAGGACCTTTTAAAAAATGTCCACAAAAACTTGAAAAACCCTCCTTAATTTGAGATATCATATCCTATGCTGGCTAGCCTTCTAAAAAAGATCCCAGTTTTAGGCTTTGGGTGTGATGTTGGTGAATGATTAACGATTTCACAGTTTTCTACATTTGCAAACAAAACCCACCAATAATTTGAGGCACATTTCCTATTAGTTGTCTATTTAACTTTTCACTTCCATAAGTTATGGAGTTTAATTGTTTTATAGGAATAACCACTAGATTTAGAGGCAAAATATGAGAATTTAAGAACAATTTGGATATAATTAATTGTTTTGTTAAAAAAATCNCCCGCCCCGCACCGTCCCACACTGCCTGCCGTTCCTACCTACGGATCTTCGAATCTCCTTCCGGACGCACTCCCAATACCAGAATCACTATACGACGCTATTTCCAGACTCGGAATCTCTAACGAACATTGGTAACATTAAAATGCACTCCAACCCAAATTTATGAAATTTTTCCAAAATTCTAACTTCCACAATAGGTGCCGAAACGCTCCCGAGTCATCCAAAACCCGATCCAGACATGCGCCCAAGTCCAAATCATCATACAAACCTGTTGATAACTCTCAAATCCCGACTCCGAGGTCGTTTACTCAAAATCAACCCTTAGTCGGTTTCTTCCAACTTTAAGCTTCCAAAATGAGAATTCTCTTTCCAAATCAACTCTGAACTTCCGAAATTCCAGTCCCGACCACATGTACAAGTCATAATACCTTAAGTGGAGCTGCTCATGGCCTCAAACTGCCGAACGGCGTGCTAGAGCTCAAAATGACCGGCCGGTCATTATATTCTCTCCCACTTAAACATACGTTCATCCTCGAATGTGCTAAGAACTGCTCTAGAGGTGTCTGAAATCACCGTTTAACACATCATGCACCTACCTGTGCTACCACAACTCTGTTGAGCACATTAGCTCGAGCTTATATGAATATATTCCCTTTTACTCAACCAAATGGGCTTTAGAGCCCAATTCCAACATCCAGAATTCTCTGCCAGGCCTGCTTCCAGCATACGAACACCGTATCAATCACCACACGATGTACCAAAACATGACTGCATACCTTTGCTGAATTCACGCTATGCACTGCCTAACTCTCATGACCATAATAATACCCTCTTAACAACAGCCAAAATTCCACCAATCTGATGCTCCCAATGTACCTTATGACATATATAAGTCTTGCCCCAACTTTTGCAATACCGCCACGATGGAAGTGGTGTGTAGAAATTTATAACAAACTGCCGAGTCAACAAATTATTAAGTCTATACTCCTAACAAGAACCATCACCCTCTGTACCAAATAATGGTATTTGCTCTTTAATGTGTACTTCATATAAATTCGATCGCACTGATCCCAGGTCCGATAATCTCGTCTCACCCAGTATAAGCTGCCCAAGCCATAAGCCACCTCAGACACTGCCAAAAATCTCATATAATGCCGCAATGTGCCAATAAGCTACAAACCCGAATGTGATACATAAGGAAAATGAACTCTAGAAAGGATTACTCAACCCGCAATACTAATTAGACAATCGAAAAGGTGTCATGAACCTTCCTCAGAAAATGGAAAACAAAACACACAAAAATAGCTATAGGGGATTGTGTAAGCACGTGATTTTTTCCCTATGAAAGAATTACTCCCAAAAAATTCAAAATAAAACGATTTTCCTTTGTGTGCAATTTTGAGAATTTTCGCGGCATTTTAGGGTAATTGATTGTATTTGTCCATGCATGTTTATTTGTTAAAATTAATAAAAATACAAAAATATGCCGCATTTACATTTAGGATTTAATTCTACAATTAGGAGTAATTAAGTTTGTTTTACAAGAATGAAAATTATAAAAATATGTGTCGTTTGCATTTTTAGCATTCAATGTCAAATTGTGCAATTTTGTTTTAATGGGTGTTTAATTATGTGTGATAAATGTTGCTAGAAATTAGTTAGTATTTTTGATAAGTTAATTTAGTTTATAACTTAATTTAGAATTTTAGTTTTATTAATTAGAAAGTAAAAGAAAAGAGAGCAAAAAATAAAAAAAAATCGTAATTGGGCCTCTTCCTCAATTTTGAACCTAGACCCAAAACACCTCTACCCAAACTAAATAACCCCTTATCCAACCCAAAGACCCATCGGGTCGACCCGACCCGGTCCGCCCCATAACCCCAAATGACCCAACCTCCTATCTTCACTTCATTTTCATTTTTTTTCACAAAAAACCCTAAACTTAAACCCATCCGCCCCCCTCTCTCTTTCTCTCCATCTTCTCCAAGCTTCCTCACGCCCCCATCCATGGCTGCCCTTACATCATCTTCTTCGACACAAGCACACACACACACAGCTCCACAACCATCCACACTCGTCGACCACCAACAACCCCGCCTCGTCGTCGAAGCCATGAACGATCAACAACCCCGCCTCGTCGTCGAAGCCATGAACGACCAACAACCCCGCTTCGACGAGCTCCAGCCATGGACGACGTGAAACAGCCCCAACTAGCCCCGTCGCAACACAGCACCACCCTACTGCTTCATCTTCTTCATCGACCACCATGAACGAACCCTTCATCAGAACCCAATACACCATAGAAGAGAAGGCAGCTGCTTCATATGCTCCATAGCAGCTAACGAAGCACACCCTCCACCATCTTCCTCCTCCAGTTGCAAGCTCTAGCTCCACCATGCCTGAGCTTCGTTGTTCACCTCCAGCCAAACACCAGCCACGCCGGAAAAACCCAGTGCTGCCCTCCCCGTCCGCCATTAACAAGATGCACCTGCTGCGTTGCTGCTGCCTTCTGCTTCGTCCAGCTTCGTTTGATATTTTCTTCATCCAGCTTCGTCCAGCTTCGTCCAGCATCTGCTTGTGCTGCGTTGCTGCTGCCTCATCGAGCATCTAATTCAAAACAAATTCTCCTCGCAACTGCTTCGTTTTTCAAACGACACCAAACAACCATTTTCTTCGATGGTCCGTTCGTGGTCGTCTTCGGCGTCGAGTTATTTTGGTGCGATAATTGTTTCCGGGCAGATTTGTTTTTGTTCGAGTTTATCGTCGTTCTGATCCGGTTAGTTGGTTTAAGTTTCATTTCTGTCCATAATTTATTTGATATTTTCGAATCTGAAATCAGATATGTTTGATATTAATTTCGTGTTTATCGTTTTGATTATTTTCTTCAGTTTGTTTCATTTTTTCTTGTTTATTTTTATGTAGAAATTGTTAGTTTAATTATAATGTTGTTAGTTTTAAGTTTAAGTTCAATTAATTATTTCTTCAGTTTGTTCTTATTAATTTAAAAGGATTTAGTTTTTAATATAGAAATATGTTAGTTTGATTACTGCAATCCTTCGTCTTGACTGTAATATTGTTAGATTTAGTTTGAATTTGTGATTGAATTTATTTAGGAATTGGTTATATTTGCTGTATTTTGGTTGGAATTGATTAGGTGAATTGGTTATAGCTGATGGGGGTAGATTGGTAAATTGCAGTACTTTCAGGGGTAAAATGATAATTTCAGTAAAGTCGGAGGGGTATTTCTGGAATTGAAAATTTGAACAATTATTTAATCTGAGTGCTCCGTCCACTAGACATTAATAATATTGAAATAGTACATGGTGGGGGACAAGGGAATTAAATAAGAAAAACATTAAGTAGTGGGGGCAAGACATGCAATTAGGGGAATAGTTCGGGTTAGTGGTTCAAGACAAGAGTTTTGCTAAAAATAAGAGTAATTTTTGACATAGGAGGAGGACATTTTTTGAGGAGAAGA